CCCTCCTGCACAGCAACATGMTCTCAGAAAAATACCTGGAGCTGCCAAACGAGATTGCCAAAAGCAATTTACCTTCCTCAGGAGGAACCCCGAAGGATTCAGGCCCCCAGGAGGAGAAGTGCAGCAAAGCCCTGGCTTTGAGGCTACAGGAATCCTACAGCAATGGTTTGTCGGTCAGCCTCTCCCCTTCCAACTCGGCCAATTCAGGCACGGACCAAAAAGGCTTGAAGGTGTCCCCTAACGGCCAAACAAAGGCGCAGGACGCGGAGAGGACGCCCCCGGCGAACTTTAAGCGGACATTGGAAGAATCCAACTCGGGCCCCGCGCTGAAGAAGCCGCGGCGGGGGCTGGGCCGGGCCCCGGGGGAAGGTGCCACCGCCACCCCGCAGCGCAGGACCCCGTCCAAGCTGGCCATGMGGCGCAGCCTCCGCGGGCAGAAGAAGCTCAGCAGCTCCCTGTTCCACCCGCCCAGGAAAGCCGTGTGCGTGTGCTGAGCCCCTCTCCGGCCCGCCACAGTTTGCAAGCGGCTGCGCAAGTTTGAAGCTCTTCCCCGTTGATCTTTTTTTAAAAGTAGGAACTTTTTTTGGTATCCGACAGCTTTATCCCAGCCTTGTACTTGCTTGTATTATAACTGTGAATTTTGTAGATGTGTAGGGTATAAGTCACTGTAAAATGTGTGTAAATTTGTATTCCTTCATATAAATGTAGTCTCTTTTCTTCCTTGTATAATTGTTACGGTGGGGCTAAGCCTTGTTTAAAAAAAAAACAAAAACAAAAAACAAAATAATCCTTTTTGTTAATTTACTAAAGTCATCAATTTGTATACACTTCTTGTGAGGAGTTTCACAACTTTTTAACTAAAGTAAATTATTAAACAGAATGGAAGATATGTATTTTCGTAGTCTGATACGTTCCACCTAAAGTGTGTCTTAGAGAATACACTAGGTCTATATTTTGGTTTTAAATTTTAGATTTCTCTACTCAGAAATGAAATGTATGTGGAAGCAGAGATTTGAGTCTTGCTTTACACACCTCAATGTCGATTTTATGTTAATTAAAATACTATGCAGTATCTTATTTAGTTGTATTTTTTGTAACAATAATCGTCAAAAGTATTTAGCAAAAAAAGTGTGTTTTAAAAACTCCACCTCCCCAGAGCATCCGAYAAAGCCATTCCCATCCCCTGTTACAAATGATGGCATTTTATCCAGGCATAACTGCCCTTCTGAGATGTGTTTTCTGCTATTCCAATACTGATGGTGCTGCTAATACCTTTCAACACAAGTTCTTAAATTATTTTATGACTATTTTCATTGACTATGTGGACCATGTGTATGTTCACCTCAATAAAACACATGAAAATTTGATGGGGATGCTTTTTATTTTTTAATATTTATTCAAGCTTAAGGTCTATTATTTATTCAGCAATGAAATATGAATTTATTATTTAAAAGATTCATATTTATTTGGTATTCATTAAAAATCTGAATACTCTTTCCCTTCTYACTGTGGCTTAGGCAACAAGACATCTCACTTAGATTTATCATAGAAYTGATCTTGCACTTTATCCTGAATGTTCAACTGTAGCAATACATTAACTTTTAAAATTTTTATTTTAATAGCAAAGTAAAAGGCCAATACTTTATTCCAGTGGYCAGGATGGTTATTTATAGAATCCAGTTCTTTATTGCTGGAACAATAAAACATGGGTTGGAAACAGGCCTGCTATCTATATGTGTTACCATGGTTACAGAAATCCCAGGGGATTTTATTCCTGAAAATATTCTCTTTCATCCATGCTGGGAACACAGCGCTGCCTTAGGAGATGAAAGTAACAGCCTGTGCAAATTGGATCCTGCAAGAATTTATTTCTGTGTATGTGGGAAGRAACTTCAGTTAATAAAGTTTGGCTGTGATGTTGAAATTCTACCCCAGATGGGGAGGAAAGGCTGTGGAGGCCACAAYTGTGTGTGGCAACTACCTGGCAACAACTTTTGCAACAAACTAAGGTAATAATTATCTATTTTAAATTAATWTTCATTGAACCTTCTACAGAGTGAGTGTAACACCTTGGTTAGATGACTGTACTACTGCTTACAAGGGAAATATGCAAAAGAAAAAAAGGTTGGAGCAAATTTCGCAGGTTTTTTGCTCTACACAGAAGCAAAATTTACGTTTTTAGAGAATTTTACTACACTCAGAAATGTTTATGAAGTTTCCTCAAGCAGTTCCAGACTTGGGCTTCTCCACCCCTGGCTTGTCTTTACTTTGAATAAACCAACAAAACCCTACAAATTTCCTTGGAAAAGCTGCTGGAATAATTGTCCGAATTAAACATCTAAAGCTCCTCTGCCCTTCCTTGCTGACAGAAACTGGCACCAGTTTACTCCTGGTATACTCTGCCCACCCATTTATCCGTTGACTCCTCTGAAATTATTACTCAAAGCTGAGACAGGGGAGTGTGCGAAATTACACCTAGTAAGTTAACAGAGCCTCCTTTGCTAAACAACCTTTTCTTGTGAAATAAAGCTCTGATCTGCAAACCTGCTAACAGGTACKTGGTGAGTGTTTGCTGGGTTACTCTCCGGTGATTGTTTCATTCTTTTGGTATGTGGATGATGATGTTGTCACAGCAGTCAGGTGGATTCCCAGAGCAGGTCACCCCTTCTGACCTGGTGCCACTGTCTGGAAACCTGAACCGGGCTGAGTGYGTCACCCTGAGGGCTCTGTG